AAATGCAATCAGGCAAAATGGAATATTCAAAATCTCTTAGATCTGGTAAGAAGCCATCGTTCAAAGGAACTTCAACATGCCACATATTTGTGTGGCCAAGTTTCCATTCTCCTCCAAGTGTTTTTTGTTTGTTTTATTCCTATCAGTGCTGCTGTTCACACCCGGTCTACTTTAAAAATTGACCCAAGAAGTTATTCTCCCATCCCATTAGCACTGTTAAGAACACAAGTGAGAAGCCTCCTTTACAATATAAACAAATTGGGATCTGTAAGTATTTGTACCACAGGGGTGATTTTTACACTTTCATAGAATCATAGAATCAGCGGGGTAGGAAAGGACCTCTGAGATCATCAAGTCAAACCCTTGATCCACTACCGCCATGGTTACTAGACCATGGCACTAAGTGCCATATCCAGTCTCATCTTAAAAACCTCCAGGGATAGAGAATCCACCACTTCCCTGGGCAGCCCATTCCAATGCCTGATTACCCTCTCTGTAAAGAATTTCTTCCTAATATCTAACCTAAACCTCCCCTGGCACAGCTTAAGACCATGCCCTCTTGTCTTACTGATAGTTGCCTGGGAGAAGAGACCAACTCCCACCTGGCTACAACCTCCTTTCAGGTAGTTGTAGAGAGTGATGAGGTCTCCCCTGAGCCTCCTCTTCTCCAGGCTGAACAATCCCAGCTCCCTCAGCCTCTCCTCATAGGACTTGTGCTCGAGTCCCTTCACCAGCCTTGTTGCTCTTCTCTGGACCTGCTCCAGGCCCTCAATATCCTTCCTGAACTGAGGGGCCCAGAACTGGACACAGTACTCGAGGTGTGGCCTCACCAGTGCTGAGTACAGGGGAAGAATCGCTTCCCTGGACCTGTTGACCACACTGTTCCTGATACAGGCCAGAATGCCATTGGTCTTCTTGGCCACCTGGGCACACTGCTGGCTCATGTTCAGCTTCCTGTCAATCCAAACTCCCAGGTCCTTTTCTGCCTGGCTGCTCTCCAGCCACTCTGTGCCCAGCCTGTAGTGCTGCATTTAATGCAATGAAAGCTTTGGAACTGACAACAGAAAGCTAGCCTGAAATATCAATGTTATCTAGAGATCCAGTCCAGGATTTGGCTACAATAGCACCAAATTTTGGTGGTCATTGTCTCAAGAACATCAGTGGTTAATAAGCTCTAGCTTCTTGATAGCTTTGGAAATACCTATGCATGTTTAAATTGTATAACTGCACTTGGAACCTGGTTATCCCCTAAAGGGAGATGACCAAGGAGCTCAACCTCCCTACAGAATTACACCAAAGAAAAACTACAGTGAGTAAAAAAACACAAGGTTTTTGTCTTCTGACATTATAATCTGCAGCTAAGAAAAAATTTTCCTGCCTTTAAGTTCACCCCAAAACTCCACCACTTAGAAAAAACTGAACAGTTACTTATGGAAAATAACCCATTTGTTTACTCATAAATGGGTCTAATCCCCAGCACGTCACGACATTTTCAGTAAGTTTCTCATGTCGTCCATGCAGTCCTTAAACAGCCCGTTTGGCACTGCTACCCTGTGCCAAGACCCCTGGGGGCGGTGAGGCCAGCTGTCACCCCGCATTCCTGCAGGCAGCGACGAGCTGCAGTGGACTGCGATGGATGCTGAGACGAGATGGCCCGCCCTACCCCCCTACCAGAGAGTCATATCGAGGACGAGACACATACCTCCCTACTCCTCAAACAGGCTGACTAGAGCCCAAACCCCTTCCCTCACACCCTACGCTCAGCCGAGCCACCCCACACACTTATCTGAGGCAGGGGCGGTGCCGAACGAGCGGGCAGAACTAGCAGGGCAGCCCACCTCCCATCATCCGAGTTGTGGGTGGGAAGGGAGAATACACCTGCTCTCTGCGAACAACCCCCAAAAAACCCGCGCAACTCCACAACCAATTGGAGGTGTAGCGCCCCGCGCGGCTTTAAGCATCGCAAGAACACTACCCGCCTCCTCTGGTGCTAGGGAACAAGCAGAAGGCGGGGTTTTCGCAGACGCCATTTTTTAAAAAAAACCCCTGAGGTCGCTCTCGTTCTCCTTTACTACCTTCCATTGTCTCCACTGTTCCTGTCGCTCTTCTCGTGGCTCCTGTCAGGCAGGTAAAACAAACAAACAACCCAGGCACACTGCGGCGGTGTAGGATGGATGGTACCCCTCTCCTCGTGACGCTCAGGCCTGTCTCGCTGTAGTCCACACGGAGGGCGGGGCGAACTAGAGGCCATCCTTGCCCTGACGGGCAGCTGCCTTACCCAACGGGGCCGCAGTGGGCCCCCACGGGGGAGAGGAGGAGGAGGTGGTTGGGCTAGTCGTCTGGCGGTGCTGGTGGATTTGTGTGTTGGCAGTGGGAGCTGCTCACCTTTTTCTCTCGTACGTGGTGGGTGCAGGTAAGCGCGGTTCAGAGGGGGTGTTGCTTGCGCTGGGGGTGGGGTAGGGGGGATGAGTTAAGCCGGGCTGAAGGAAGTGAAGCTGTTGATCGTCCCCCTCTCGGCCCTGCTGTATGACACATAAATGCGGGAGGCCTGAGTCGCCGCCGGGCCCCAGGATTTTCGTGGACTCTCGCAGGGACAGTGCTCTTCCCCGCTGGCGGGGCTGCGGAATTGGGTAGGTCCGGGGACTGCTGCGTGGAGAAGGAGGGGGCCGGGAGTGACTCCTCCTTAGCTAGCGTGGTTTGGCGCAATGTGCGGACCCGAGGAGCCACATCTATTCTAAGGGAAGGGCGAAAAGGATGATCTGTGTCTGCCAGCAGCCGTCGCGCCTTGGCGGCCTTAGTGTGAGCATGGCGGCCCAACCGGTTGCGGCTCCCGGAGTGGCGATGTGGTGGAGGCAGATTGCACTAGCGTGTGCGCCCTAAGGCGGGGGGGGCGGTCGCCGCCGCATTCTAGCGCCTACCCTGAGTAACTGTGGATGGGGTAGTGAGTTTTGAGGAATTATGGTGGGCAGAGAGGAAGAGGAGTGAGGGCATTCTCTGCCGTGGCTTGTGCGGAAGCAGCCGTGCCAAAGCGATTGGGGAGCGCTCTGCAGCAGGGCCTGCTTTTAGGGGAGACCGGAGTTCTCGTGGCGGGGCTGTTGCGCTCTGTTGGCTCTGCTTGAGCTCGGGTGAGTGCCTCTGAGGGCCTCCTTTGTGTCTCCCTAGTCGTAGTGGGGGAAATCTTGTGACCGCGTGGTGGTAGTTTTTCGGCTCACGGCTCCGCCTAGCAATGGGTAGGCGCCATTACAGCAGCCGCCATTTCTGCTGGTCCCCGTCACCGCGGAGGTGGGTCTCGGACTGCGGGGGTTATATAACGGCGCCTTCCCCCTCCCACTTAGGGAGTGAGTTGGGATTTCGAGCGCTCGGCGGCTGGCTGGTTTTAGAAGCTGTGCGAGAGGTAAAGGTGAACGTCAGCCCGAGCACTGCTGGCGCGTGGGCTGCGGAAGGGGAGGTGTCCGGGCGGGAAGGACCGTTTGTCCCGGAGGAAGTGAGGTAGAGACGCGCCGGCATCTCCTAGCCCTCTACTCATGTCCGTGACTGCTTTATCCTTTCGATGTTTTCAAAACATTGCGTGAGCCAGTTTAATCCCCCAAACTCGATTTACACAACAGAGCATAATAACTACTTGAGAGCATCTTGTTCTTCCCCCCGCAGCTCTACAACTTTTGGGAGGGTCGTAAATAGAATAGAGTCTGGAAGGGTTAGCCATTTGAACCTGGTGAAATTTCTCTTCCTGCCCCCATCCCCGCGTTCTAGCAGCGTCTGTTTTGAGACTTGGCTATTCTTCAGGCGGTGCTTTTCTATTAGGGGCTTGGAAATACTGGCATGTGCTGGGAAGGCAGTCTCAGCAGCAACTGTAAAAGAGTGCGTGCCTACCCAGCAGTGCTTGCTGTTAGCCTGCAAAAACAGGGTAACTTACAAATTAACAGATGATTGAAAGGATGTTTTAAAAAGTTTAACGTACCTCACTTTTTCTTTGTGGATACGTGTGTCAACCGTTTGTTCAGGCTATGAAAGTTGAACAATAAAATCCAAGGGAGGAAGATAGCGTTCTTTGTTTGGCTGTTATCGGTACAAATTAATTTTTTAAGACAATAAGGTGCAAAATTTTTCTGCCTGGACTTCTAATTTGTTTTACAAGTATTCTCACGTGGACTTAGCAAAAATAGATCTTGAAAGAGGTACCTGCTTCACAAGGTCAAAAAAGGTTGCTTTTGACATTCTTCATGCATGTACGCAGAGGTTATACATTACAGTGTGCTATTTTTAACAGAATTTTTCAAGTGTGGCTTGTGTGTAATTTTTTGTTCATCTGTTATATTGAATGGAAGGCATGCTAGTAAGTTGATAGAAAACTTATTATGATCACCAGCATTAATTTTATAACTTTTTAGTCTAAATTGTTTAGTCTAAATTTAGAACTAGCAATTAGCAGATTGAAACATAGGGTCTCTTAAAAAGGAAATTCAAGGTATATATTATATAACATCCTAAAAGTAGGAACCAGATAATTATTCATTTTAAATATCTGAAAATCATTATCAGTAAATGTGATTGCTTAAAACTAGCAAATGCTTGAAAACTTAGCAAGTTTGAAATAATTCAGAGTGTAATTGTGTGTGTGTAAGCTTTTGTACTTCATTATTATTTCTCTTCTTAGTGATGTATTTGGCCTTGTTTTCTCATTTATAAGAAAAGCTTTGCAGCAAAATCTCAGGTCAAAACCCCATTTTCAGTTGTAGCAAGAATCATACCTGTAAGTGAACAGAGCCTGATCTATGCTGTTTTCATAGGCTTCTGAAGCAGTAGGGTTTTGATCCCGCACAGAACACTTGAGTTTTGCTCTGCAAGTGTATATAAAACTGGTAAGTTCTAAAAGCAGGCATCTCTTTGCTTTTCCCATTAGTATGATGCACAATTAGCTTTTTTCCCCCACAAAATAATGTACTAGTTCTTTTTTATTCTGCAGCAGGTTTCATCTTCACTCCTAAGAATAAGAGGTAATGGAGACTGAACAACAGGAAGAGACCTTTACCAACACAGAGACAAATGGTAAATTTTTTAAAGGGCTATTTTATTTTGGGGGGATTAATTTTTTTGAGTCTTGGTAATTCAAACTATTTTGGAATGCTTTAACTTTATCATGTTTTCTTTAATCTTTTAAGTGTCCTGTGTGGTTTTACGTGATTTTTTTATCATGAACATGTAATTTTTCTGTGGGAGTATTTTAGACATTGTTTAAGTATCTAAAAGTTATAAGTAAAAGATTTAAAAATATTTGATAGCTAAATGCTCAGTACTTGTATGGAAAATGCGATCGTGTAAAAATACTGTCAGGCATATCTATTACTGCATTTTGTTTATTGCAGTTATTACTTTGAAGGAATGTGTGTGTATATATATGTGAAATATATCTAAATATTAACTAAATGAAAAACCTTTTGGGCATAATTAGTGAAGAAGACTTAGAGCATTAGTATTGAGTTGACTAAGGCCAGTTTTTCAAAGTGATTTGAAATACTGCTTTCCTACTGTTTCACCAGTATTTCAGTATTGGACAAACTACTTTTGATCTTATGGGCTTTAAGGTTTTCCCAGTTGTAAAAGAAATACTAAGTAGGTGATGCAGCACTGTTGTAAACAACGTTGTAATTTTATTCACTAAGTTTGCAAAATTCTCATTCCAACTGTAGTTCGTAGATTTGAATGAGTCTTCAATAATTAATTGATATGTAGAGTGATGTTTCTGTGCTATATATACTCAGGGTAGATGTCAGAAGTTAGCACTGGGCTAATAGCAGGGAATGCTTCACTAGGAATACAGTGCATAGCTTGATATACAGTTTTATCGTGACTTCATAAATTAAATATATATTTGTGTTTTCCCCTCTACGGACCTGTCTACAGGCAAACGTCCTGCAGAAGATATGGAAGAAGAACAGGCCTTCAAAAGATCTCGGAATACAGATGAGATGGTTGAATTGCGCATCTTGCTTCAAAGCAAAGTATGCTTTTTCAGTATCACTCTGTTCCTGCTTATACCATTATTTAAGACCATGGTAGCAGTGTATGTTGTGGTGCATGTTTAGAAAGAACGTGTGCTTTACTTAAAATAACTTATTAGGAATATTTGTAAGCATGATAGTAGAAGTGTATCACAATGGTATTACCTTCCATATTTTTTTTCAAGGATGAGTCTAATGATCTATGGGACTTCTCTGATTTAAAAAAAAATGCATTAATTGAAAAAATAAAGAAATAAAATTAAACCAATTCTCATGTTTAGGTAGAACATAATTGTTTCCAGAGGACCGACTGTGTATTAGTCTTTAGAAAGCAATTAGTTTAAAGAATGATCAGCTTATGATTGTAAATTAAATGTAAGAGGCAAGATGAGGGCTTCCTCAAGATTCCCAGATTTAGTAAATCTACATGTATCAACAGGAGGAAATAAGGGAATAATGTTTCACGGATTGCAATTGCTTCATTGACTAGTATAAATTGTCACAGTAAAATTGCTGTTTATGAATCTCCTTTAGTGTTTCCAGTTGTTGCAGATGTTTGTGCTGTCTGGAGTAACTCAGTCTTTTGTGTCGGGGTAGGGGAATGTTACCTTAGCTCTACATGGCATTTCTGATGAATAGTCAAGTTATGTGGAGTGCTGCAAAATATTTGTGGTGGTGTTAGCATCATATATGAACTGCATAGTAAAAGCAATAATTTTGCATGTGGTTCTTGAAATAGTCTGGTAAGGAATTAGTTTTACAATTGCCTCTCTTGAATATCTGAGTTTATTCCCATTGATTTTAGCAACTGGAGAGTAGCGATTGTTTATATTGACTTTACATTCTTCAGACCGTATCTACTTGAGTGGTCAGTTGAGTCACATAGGCTTCAATCAAAAGTAGCATTTGGGATTATCAAATGTTTGGAGTGGGAAAGTGAAATTTGCAAACATTAAAAAAAAAGTGATCAAATAAATTGGCAAAATCCTTGATCTACATAACATGCATGAAATCCCATAAGATATTTTTTCAGTCATACTCTGAGATGGTTGGGACCCTGAGCAACCTGATCTAGCAAGTGGCATCCCTGCCCATGGCAGGGGGGTTGGAACTAGATCTTTAGGGTCCCTTCCAACCCAAACCATTCTATGTTAAACATGACAGATACCAGGATAGACCTCTGTGGTACCCCACTTCTTACCAACCTTCAGGTGCGGTAAGATCCAGTAACTTACCAATCATCTAACCAGGTTTTTATTCATCTGCTTGTCCAACTATGATTCTATGAGAATACAGGTAGAATTGATTAGCAACTTAAAATTGAAATTGTATTGCTGAGTGTTTTTATGTCTTTCCAAAGTTCAGTGGTAAGAACTGTACTGACTTTTTTTTTTTCCCCATGGTAAAACCATGTCAGTTTATGTTTTGATTTAATTTGAACCTTTCAAAAGCAAAACAAACCCCACCCTGCCCCTAAATGCATCCCACAAGGTAATGCAAAAATAGACACATTGTTCTTAGTCTTCGGTTCAAAAATGTAGTCCGTGTGCTGTATTAGCATAACATAGCTTCTGAAAACTATTTTCCAGAATGCTGGAGCAGTGATTGGAAAAGGTGGCAAAAATATTAAGGCACTTCGTACAGATGTGAGTATACATGAGTTTGAATTAATTTAACACCAATTCTTTCAGAGCATTGCATTGAAAACTTGATTGCTTACATTTCTGGAAATTGAGAAATTCAAACCTAGACAACAATAATCTAATTATAAGCCATTTATAATTGTTAGAGGAGATAGCTTTAATTTTTAAATTTGTGTTTTAATTAAAGCCCAGCTCAAGTTATGTGGGAGGAGAGGTTTATATGAAACCTCTTTGCTTTCAAACAGGGTACCTCTAAATTACACACTTTAAATAACATCTTTAATTAGAAATATTGGCAAAGCTTAAAACTCATAACTATAACATTTCCCATATATGTGAATCAATTATAGTCCTATTAAAAACTATTGCTGGTGGCTGCCTTAACCCAGTGATAAAAGAATTCTTTAACTTCCTTTAAAATGAAAAAAACCCAAAACATAACGATCCATTTGGTTTTACTTTAACAGTGTGGACATAAAGCACAAAAACATTCATGTTAAGGTTGCATGACTTAAATACAGGTATAGAACAGTAAAGAAACGTTCCACTTGGAAGCATTTTTAAGTGGTCATGACTTATTTACCTATTCATATTTTATATGGGTTGACTCTTATGATTAGACATGTTCAGCGTAAATGTTATGTATTTATAAAACTTGGCAATGCTTCTTAAATTCCATTTGTTTACACTTATGTGCTTAGCCTCGGCTACAATTTTGACAATTTTTTCAAGTAAGACTGTATTCAACACAATATTTGCTAATATATCATCACAGAATCAGTTCCATCTAAGTTCACAAACTTTAGCAACCAGAATTGAGGATTAAGCTGAAATGGTCAGGAATCATACTTACACTCACTAACTTTGGCAACTAGGGGCTTTTTTGTTTAAGTAAATAAACACATCACCTTAGTCCAGATAATTTAACTGGTCTGGAATACTAACTTTCCCAACTTGCCCAAGGTTTCAGTAATATGGATCTCAACAGTTTTTGTGCCTACGTTTATGAGATGACCTGCTACTGAAACATCATTGTTAAAACATAGTTTAGTCAGATAACTCGTGAAGATCCATACTGTTAAGCCATAGTCAATGTAGCAATCCATTATTGTGTTAGTCTTCAGAACAACTTAAACTTGCTTCATTAACTGAGAGTAATAAGTATAGTTTGTATTAAATTAAAATTTATTGCTTTTCCCCCTTTTCCCTCTCCTTGTTTTTTTGGCCATATATCTCCGTTACCCATGTACTGGATCGACTTGCCCCTGCGTTGCCCACCATGACATGACGTTGGCCCATCCGCCCCTGAACGCCCATGTGAAAACCCTGGTTGGCTATGCCCAAAAATGTACTCGTTGCCAAACGGGTACCATACTTGACAACTTCTGATTGAATGCCCATGCCCAATGCCAACATCCACGAACGCCAATGACCAATGCAGTACAATGCAAGTGTTTCAGTCCCAGACAGCAGTGGCCCCGAGCGGTATGTCCCAACAGTTTATGCCTCACTGCCTAATTAGAAAGAGAGAAATGTATTTTATTACCTGCCTTTGATATAATTAAATAGCATCCCCTTATAGACCGTGTATTGTTTTTTTAAAGTTTTCTGTCTTATTTTCCCCATTAAGTCTTTTTGTCACTGAACTTTTACGTGAGTTGGCCACCCAAACAATCCACTAATTTTATTTCAATAGAAAAAGAACAGCTTCAAGTGTTGTATATTCACTGCATTATAAATCAAACTGTTTCAAGAGTCTCTTGCTCTGGTCTTTGTGGCCCACCTTTCTCCCCCCAGCATTGTCTGTTCATAATTATTTCTGATAAAACACTAACTCTAGTTTGCTTTTCTTCTCATTTGTGTTACATTTCTTTTTGTTTGTGGGGTTGTTTTTTTGTTTTGGTTTTTTTTCCCCTTGTATTTATATTCCATTTTTTGCAGAGCCCATTAGTAATCTAATTTCTAGCTGGTGTTTCAACCTTACTGCAGATATAATGTTGACCACTTACATATCCCCACTTTTTCTATAGAAAGGTGTACTAGTTTAACCAATGTAATGGCAAGGGTATACTAAATTAGTGGTGGTGGGGAAAGTGAATATTCACTCATACTTGCAGTTCTGCATCGATTTCTTGCCTACTTAATCTGTCTGAGCCCTTTCAAAAGCTTTCATGTGCTCTCTCATTCTCTCTGCAAGATCTATCTAGCCTTAAATTCATCATGCATATATATTGGGCATAAACAAAGATGCATGTGTTGTAAATCCAGTGAACAGCTTTACTTTAAATGGGGAATATTAATTGTAAATTCTTCTCTGTAGTCAATCTTGTTAGAATTTTGTATATGATTATGACTACTAAACTTATTTCTGCTACTTTCCACCTTCTCCATGTTTTCTGACACTATGACCTCTAACAGTATCTTGAGTATAAGTGCAGATACAGAGACAATTGGAGAAATCTTGAAGAAGATTATCCCTACTTTAGAAGAGGTATGTCTCTTAGGTTTGATACTTTTTCAGAGGTGTAAATTTAGATTTTAAACCAAGATAATTCTAGATGACTGTGGGCTATTTTTGATATGGTAATTTAGAAAATAAAACCCAGCCTTTTTTAAAAGAAGACCTATAGCACTCAATGTATGTCTTGACATTTTTTTTGGTAGCAGACAGAGACAATTTCTTCTTAGAAAGTTAATATTTGGAACAACCTCCTCCCCTTCAAAACACCTGTTTCCTGACTTGTTTAGTTCCCAAATTGAAGTAACTCTATTGTAATTTCCATTCTGCCTTTGCTTTGTAATCAAGTGTGTTGCACTGTTGGATATATTAAAATTTTATACAACAACAATATTAATAAAAGAAATAAGGAAAGCTAATTTGACGTCACCTCGTGTTGAGGCAAAGTACTTAAAAATATGTGATTTTTATTGTAGCAAATACAGTATTACAGTTCAGCAGTAAATTAAGTCATACCATGCTGTTTGGAGAAAAATCTTTACAAAGAAAACCAAAATTAGTATTTTGATTTTTCAATTATTTTTTCCCCTGACTAATATTTTATTCTTGTATGCATCTTACAGTATCAGCACTACAAAGGTAACGACTTTGACTGTGAATTAAGACTTCTAATTCACCAAAGTCTAGCAGGAGGAATTATTGGTGTTAAGGGTGCTAAAATCAAAGAACTCAGAGAGGTACTGTTTCCTATTCTTTCCAGATTCTGCTTTTATTCTATTAAAAAAAATTAGATTTTTGTGTTCATAAACAGTGAGTGTAAGCATTGTCTGAGACTTATGATCCTTCAGAACATATTTCATACATGAAGTGGCTGTTGGGGATAAAGCCTAGAACGTCTTATAAAGCTTTTAAACATATTAACAGTAATCTTTAAAAATAAAAGATACTTTTTAAAATTAAAATACCATTCATCACTCCTTCTGGAATGAGCTGCTGAATAGACTGTTGGTGGTGTTGGACATGGAAAATGGTTTAGCGTGGATGCATCTCCATAAACTCTTAGTGATGATAATTTAATAGATGTTCAAATATTGCTATAAAAAAGTAGTGTGGGGTGGGTTTCTCTTGGAGATTTGTTTGTTTAGTTTTTTGTTGTGGGTTTTTTTAAGTTTCACTTCCTTGACAACCACTGTTTCCTTTGTGAAGGAATGAGGTTTTGTTTTAAAAAACTAGTGGTCTCTATCAATCTTTAGTGGTTTTTTCTATCCTTTCCTCACATTGTGTCAAAAGCAATTCCAGGTCAGTTTAGGCATAAGCTACTATTTGTGTGGACTGAGGGGAAAGCAAGATGACTAAACATAATCCTGGCAACATTGCTGTCTTGGATCCAAAGAATGTTTTTATGACATATGAAGGTTTATATAACCTGTAAGCTTACAATGAATATGTGGTCCTTTTGCTCATATTTGATTAAATGACCATGTAGATGAGCCATAATTGAAAGATTTCAAAAATTTTTCCTTTTCACTAGCATTTCATACAAACTGATGTCATTGCAGGTCTTAGAAATGTAATATCCTAAGATTAAATTTGTTGTAAGAACTCAGAAACCAAACATTCACTTAAAATGACTAGAAGTTTAATGATTTTGTTTGATCATTTCTTTTAAAATGTTTCAGTATGTGTCTTACCTATTTTGTTTTCAATAAGTTTATAAAATTGTTTAAAATACTTCTATTTGAAGGTTTTGGGGGTTGTTTTTCTTTTTGACAGAACACTCAAACCACCATTAAGCTCTTTCAAGAATGTTGTCCTCATTCCACTGATAGAGTGGTGCTTATTGGTGGAAAACCTGATAGAGTTGTGGAGTGTATCAAGATTATCTTGGATCTTATCTCTGAGGTAATGTGTCTTAAACTTATTCTTTCATTGGTATGCATGAAAGTCAAGATGATTTGGCTGGAAAATTATATCTTTCCATTTCTATTTTGAATTCAGTGTCTCTTCTTCAGTAACAAAATAAGCGTTGGACTGTTAGCACCCTTTGAAATTATTCCTGTCTACTAGAATTGGAGTGTACCTTATTGGAGGGAGAAAACATTTTTGGTTCCAAGGGACTTAGTCATGCTTTACATGTCAGTAAAATAAGAAAATTTAAATTGGGGAGAAATTAAGACAAAGTTACGTGACACCCATCAATAACAGCAGTTTCTCTATCATAGTTAAGCTCTCAGGAAGCATATCACCATCCCTGCCTTACTTATCAGCATTGCAAAATAAAGAACATATTCAGCATGTATAAATTCATATTTATACATTTAATATATTAGTTTAATGAAATATATTTTTTTTTTTTGTTTTATGTGTATGTGTGTCAGTCTCCAATTAAAGGACGGGCCCAGCCTTACGATCCAAATTTCTATGATGAAACTTATGACTATGGTGGCTTTACAATGATGTTTGATGATAGAAGGGGACGTCCAGTAGGCTTTCCAATGCGTGGAAGAGGAGGCTTTGATCGAATGCCTCCTGGTCGTGGCGGACGACCTATGCCTCCATCAAGAAGAGATTATGATGATATGAGCCCTCGCAGAGGACCTCCACCACCTCCGCCAGGTCGTGGTGGCAGAGGTGGCAGCAGAGCTCGTAATCTTCCTCTTCCTCCTCCACCACCTCCTCGTGGCGGGTAAGCTGTTGCATAAATGCATTGTACAAAACTCCAGTTGAGTAACATTTATTGAATTGTGCTCATGTTTCTAGGACTTGTTTCACACTCCATGTTAGTAGTGACTATGCAGGATTGAGTGTGTATTGCACCAGAAAATTTTGAAAAATATTTGAATTAAGTTATTTCTGCAGTATTATCAGGACTAATAGTTCTGTAACTTTATTTTATGTCGTTCAGAACTAGGCCAAAGCATTCAGAAATTGATAATTGTGTGCAAATCATTAAAACTTGAATTACAATATATAAACTAGTTTATAACATGAGTCATGTGCTGCTGCTTTTTCTCATTTTAGGGATCTTATGTCTTATGATCGAAGAGGTAGACCTGGAGACCGTTATGATGGAATGGTAGGAGTTAAAAATCGTTTTGTTTAGTAAATACAGTTAACACTTTGAATATCTAAGGAAACTGTTCTTGAATACGTACTTTTAAGTGTGGGGCATGTGTGCTTCTGATAAACTTTGATATCACCAAAATGTTTTGGCCATACAAATGGTCTCCCCAAGAATACGACTGTTTGGGGTATAAAGAGTATTTGGGATGTGATCATCTGTGTGGTTTTGGTTTGCGGGATTTTTTTTTTTTTGGTTGGTTGGTTTTCCCACCTACCATCAATAGTGAAATAGAAAGTTGGTAGAGCACAGTCCCTTCAGGTTTTATTACCCAGACCTTCTTGTAGACTGTTTCTTTTTAATCAGTGACAGAAATAAGAATTGAGAGGCTTTTCAGATTGAGGAAACATCTGTTGGAAAACATTGTTTTGACACACTGGCAGAATTTGAGAACATGAATAATATCTTTAAAGAGCTCTAGTTGGTCTGGCATATGATTGCTTTTTCAATTCAGTTCTTGTCTTTATGCCGATTTCTGTCTGCAAAAAAATCTACTGTAATTTCAAATGTTTTGGAGCCAGGACCACTGATAAGTTGAATTTTAAATGAAATTAGGTACATTTCAACCATGTTGGGGGATGGGGAGAATTAAAAAAGGCTTAAAGATTACTCTTCCATGTTGTACTCTGAAATGTGACTTCCTGATAGTCATTTATTGTATCCTTTTTCCTGAGAAGAGAAATCATAGGTATCTGGGAGGTAAATCTCTGGTTAACAATCTTTTCTCTTTTTTTTTTTTTTTCCCCTCCTCTGATTCTGTTTGACCTCTTCCTTAAGATGACAGGTTAGATGAGATTATTTTATTTTAAATGAATGAAAGAGAAAGAAGAGGAGCTATGAAATGGGCTACCTAAATGAGATTTACACATCGCCATCTCCTAGGAGGAAGAGGCAATTACTTCCAGTAACATACTGGAAACACATATTAAAAGGATGTCAAAATTGAGGCACCAGAAGCCTATCAGAAATATTGAAAGGAAAGACTTGCACTTAAAATTACCAAAAACAGACACCCCCCCAAAAGTAAACAAACCCACAACAAAACAAAAAAACCCCACAACATAAAACCAGCAAGTTGTCTATGCTACTCAGGATCTTAAGAAACTAGAAGTCATGAACTAGACCTCTAAGATCACTTATTCGTATTTTCATGTTTTCAAAGTTCAGGTTTTGTGTTTTCGTATTTGCAGCTGGTAAAACCAATGTTAGGGCATATAAACAGAGCAGTCTGCCCTTCCTTGAATATATAGTTGAGCAGAGTCTTCAGCATGGGCAATAGTGTGTTCTAGTTCTGTTCCGTTCCATTTAGAATAGAAAAATCTATTTGAACTCTATTTAGTCTGATCAGGTTGGCCTTGGCTTTCTTGACATGACTTTCTACAAATAAATGGGAGTCACCTCTGCTCTTTTTCCATGTTCTGAAAAGCAATTCTATTTCCTCTTCACAGTAGAGACGCTCATGGCTTTGGCTGCTTTATGCATGAGTTTTATAGCCTGCCTACGACGGATTAGTGGGAGGGGGGAACCTCCAGGCCCTTGGGTGCCAGCCCATTACCTGGAAGGTGAATGCTCTTCCCCCCTGCCCCCGCCACATGGCCCGGCAACCCCTTAAGGAGCTCACAGACCACCAGGGAGGGACGGACAAAAGAGGAAGTTTATTGTGGGGTAGGGATTTATAAGGCTTTTAGGAGGGTCAAAAGGGGACCAATCACAAGTTCAGGGTCACATAGAAAAAAACCAATCAGGTAAAGAGTCAAACAGCCAATAGGAAGGGGTTAACAAAAGACCAATGAGAAACACCTCAGGACATCTTCCCAGGACGCTCCTGTGTGGGAGACAAGTCCCTCACAGGGGGTGTCGGGAAAAGGGAGCAGTGACTTTGCAAAAAAGCAAAAACCATTTTAAAACCTGTTTAAACCACCTTAAAAACTTCTGTTTCTATAACATTTGAGCTGTTTTCTTTTTCTTCACTAGTCCATCTCTGACAGGACTTCTTCCATCCTACATATGGCAAATCCATTGCCACACCTGCCTACAATGAGGAGTGCTTTCTGACACAGATCATATTTAATTTTTAGTTTTAGTTAACCATAGTCCCAGTATCCTTAACTGTATAAACACATGAGAAGTCTTTCCATGGATTGTGAGGCTAAAGCGTGAAGTGTCATGCCAGAAATATAAGGTCTTGAGCTACTATGTATTTCATGTAGAAACCATTCTCTAGCAAAACATTTAAATTAAACCAACATCATTGTGGTTTGTGAAGTAATGCAGGGAAAAGGCTACTTTCAGAGAGCAGGACTGCCATTTTACATAAATGCATTAAAAGGCAAGAATAGAGTCTCTTTCAGGACCAACATCTTGGAAATGCTGAATCTACAGAAATCCTCATTTTCTGCCAGTTCTCTAAAGGTGGGAAAGTTCAGTAGTTCAAGACTCGTAAGATGGTGAACCAAGACTGGATGGTGAAACTTGAATTTTCTGAGATGTAATGATACTGACAGCCTTGTAAATTTAAAGATGGGAGGAAAAAATAATTGTGTGTGTGTATATATATGTATATATATAATCTATTCTGAAGCATTTTACTGAAAAACATACATGCATTGTTTCTCTTATTTACAGAGGTATATATTTTAGGCTGTAAGTACTCCAAATCAAATGCCTAGGGACCATAATGGCTAATTTGATAGCTGAGAAAACATGAATACATTTCCGCTATTTCTTTTTTAACACCCTCATCCCCATGGATGCTTCAGATATACAAATGCACAAAAGCATACCAGGGGAAAAAATAAGATGGAAAAGTACATATAAAGCTATTTAATCCCCCTCTCCTCCTTTTTTTGTTTTAATGGTCAATTCCTAATGCTTTCAAAGTATTTTTAAATTGGAGTTAATTGAGAACTCAATCAGAATGTGTGTTGTATAGTGTATGTTCAGATCTCTAATCTGGTTTTCCTCATTTAAATGATTCCTACTACTTAATCATTATATATATATATATATGTGCATATACACATCTGTATTAGCACTTCAATAAAGGTACATACCCTAAAAAAATATTAAACATACTTCATGTTTAAATAGATTTGATGTTAAGGAGCATGTAAAAAAAACCCAAACCCACCACCCAAACAAACAAAAACAACAACAAAAAAACCCAACAGTGAAGGAAAGATGTTTGACACATTTATCTACATAAATACTAAAATTAACAAAATTTCAAATTTCACTCTTCTGGGCCAAGGAATTTGCCATCAGTTAGGACTGCATGCATATTTTTCAATTGCATGTAAAAGGCAATAAATTCTTATTAATACTAATCGCTTTGTTTTATCCAGTTATTGTTTCGTTTGGTTTTGATTTAATTTCCATTGGTTATCAGTCGTAGCTAGCACAAATGAGTCTGTAGAGAAGAAAATTGTTACGTATCTTGTCCTGCACCTAGTATTTTAGGAACTGTTTTTAAATGAGCATTTATATTTTCATAGAATCATAGAATATCCTGAGTTGGAAGGAACCCACAAGGATCATTGAGTCCAACTCTTAACTCTGCACAGGACAACCCCAAAAATCGTACCATGTGCCTGAGAGCATTGTTCAAACACTTCATGAACTCTGGCAGGCTTGGGGCTGTGACCACTTCCTTGGGTTCCAGTGCCCAACCACCCTCTGGTTGAAGAACCTTTTCCTAGTATCCAACCTAAACCTCCCCTGACACAGCTTCGTGCTGTTTCCTCGGGTCCTATCACTGGTTGCCAGAGAGAAGAGATCAGTGCCTGCCCCTCTGCTTCCTCTTGTGAGGAAGCTGTAGACTGCTATGAGGTTTCCCTTCAGTCTCCTCGAGTGACCTCAGCCATTGCTTGTATGGCTCCCCCTCTAGGCCCTTCACCATCTTCATGGCCCTCCATTGGACACTTTCTAATAGCTTTCTATCCTTCTTGTATTATAGTGCCCAAAACTGCACACAGGACTTGGAGTGAGGCCATGCTGACAAACAGTAGAACAGGACAATCACCTCCCTTGACCAGCCAGCAATGCTGTGCTTGATGCACCCCAGAATATGGTCTGCCCTTTTGGCTGCCAGGGAAGACTGTTGACTCATATTCAACTTGCCATTGACCAGGACTCCCAGATCTTTGTGATGCTGCTCTCCAACCTCTTGTATGTTCATCCAGGGTTGCCCCATTCCAGGTGCAGAATCCCACACTTGTCCTTGTTAAACTTCATACAGTTGGTGATTGCCCAACCCTCTAATTTGTCAAGATCTCTCTGCAGAGCCTCTCTGCTTTTGAAGGAGTCAACAGCTCCTCCCAATTTAGTATCAACAACAAACTTATTTAGTATCCTTTCCAGTCCTGTGTCCATTTATGAAGATGTTAAAGAGAAGTGGCCCTAAAATGAAGCCCTGCAGAACCCCACTAGTGACAGGTTCCCAGTCTGATATCACCCCATTCACTATTACCCTCTGTGCTCAACCTGTGAACCAATTGCTCACCCACCACAGGATGTGTTTATCCAGCTGTGGGCTGAACATTTTGTCCAGAAGGATCCTGTGAGAGACAATATCGAAAGCTCTACTGAAATCCAAAAAGATTACATCAACTGGCTTCCCTTGATCAACTAGGTGGGTTACCTTGTCATAAAAGGAAATCAAGTTTGTCAAGCAGGACCTTTCCCTCATGAAGCCGTGCAGGCTTTGACCAATGACTGCAAGGCAGTCATTGTCTGTCAGGTGTTTTTCAATAACTCCAGAATAATCTTTTCTGTAATTTTACCAGGCACTGAAGTTATACTGACAGACCTGTAGTTTCCAGGGTCCTCCTTCTTGCCCTTCTTGAAAATTGGGACAGTGTTTGCCAGTTCCCAGTCAACTGGGACCTCTCCAGATTCCCAAGATCATTCGAAAATCATTGAGAGGTCTTGTCATGACATCAGCCAGCTCTTGGAGTACTCTTGGATGAATCCCATCAGGCCCCATAGATTTATGGGGATCTAGCTGGAGCAGCACATCCTGCACAACTTCAGGGTCAACTGGGAGTTTATCATTCTCACAGTCATTGTCCTCCAGCTCAGGATACTGGGACTCCCTTAGCCTGTCGTCGGTGTTGAAGACAGAGGCAAAGAAAGCATTAAACACCTCTGCCTTGTCTCTGTCCCTGTTTGTGAGGTGACCATCCTCATCCTGTAATGGGTCAATGTTATTTATGGTCTCCTTTTTGCTATTGACATATTTAAAAAACTCATTTTATTATCCCCCACAGTTCTGGCAGCTTCAATTGCAGTTGAGCTTTGACCACACAAATTTTCTCCCTACAACGGCAAGCAGCATCTCTGTATTCCTCTCATGTCACCTGACCTTGCTTCCACTGCACATACTTTCTTTTTTGCCTTATTTCCAAGAGAAGATCCATGCTCAGCCAAGCTGGCCTTCTGCCTCGCCTGACATTTGGGAATTGCCTGCTCCTGTGCCCTTAGGAGGTGGTGCTTTTCCTTCTGTCACCAGAGATTTTAAACTCAATTGCTTCGTGGTCACTGTGGCCAATACAGCCACCAATCACCACTTCACACACAAGACCCTCTCTAGTAACAAGCAACAAATCACGGAAGGCGCCTTTCCCAGTCGACTCCCTTAGTACCTATGCTATGAAGTTCTCATCCATGTGTTTTAGGAATCTTCTGGACTTGTTTGTGCCAACTGTGTGGTGTTCCCAGTTAACATCTGGCAAGTTGAAGTCACCCATAAGGACAAGGGTGGTTGATTTGGAGGTGTCCCTTAGTTCCTTGAAGAATAATTCATCAGCGGTGTTGTCCTTTTCTTAGTGTGCCATTCATGTCGTGTTGCACGTTTAAATCCAGTAAAGGCCTTTACCTTAATAGTAATTCAAGTGGATTCTACAAATTGTATTTTTATAATTCTGTTTATTTTTTTTTTCCCAGCATTTGTTATAGAAGACTGAAGGAAAGAGATGCTATATATCACACTTAAAAAAAAAAATTGGATTTCCAATATAATTAGGCAGTAGTAGCTGTTAGTTTAGCTGTTGGCTATATAAGGTATACAGAAATTAATTAATAAAATATGAGAAGCTATGTCCTTCCTGCTTGACCCATTGTTGACATAGATATATCAGTGACAGTTACTTGTTTTATTAAATGCCTTTTCTGTTTTGTTTTTATGCATGAGAGAAATAGAAGGTTTTGGTATCTGAGAGTAACATCTTTTACTATATAGTACAGTTTCAGTACTCAGAGGTAAAAAACCAAACAACAAACTGTGAGCTTTGCTCTCCCCTTAACTGTCTGACATCCTTTGTGTAAGAGGAATATCTGTTTATGCCACAGAAACAAGGGAAAAAGAAGTGTGACCAGTTACAGTTCCCTTGCACTGAAAGTAAAAGGGAGTGAATCTTGTAACTGGTCTATATTGTGTACTTTTGAGCCTTTTTAAGTAGTGCAGAAAAATGTTTCTCTATATTGGTATGTATGTGTTTGTTTACTAAGTTACCTATAAACCTCTTTAACATGAACTTAATATGCATACATTTCCTCTTTTCCTTCCATTATGTTGTCCCTGGAAGATGATGCAGTGTCATGTGGATGCCTGTGATGACATGCAGCCACCAGAGTTGGTGAGTGTGCTCATGCTTTTGACTGGTTTAATAGTTTATTCTTGAGGAAAAAAATTGAATTGGTTAAGTGATAACTGGAATTTCTTGAGATTGAACATAGTTAGTGGCAGCTTGCACCTACTGAAAAATCCCTAAAACTGTCATTCTAACTCAGGTTATTGGCAGTTTATGTCCTGAACAGTGAATCCTATACAGGAAGTTGTTTCGCAATGGAAGCATGCATCAGCACAACCAAGAAACTTTTCTGTTGTATTGTCTCTTTTGTACCCTATTTTACTGTTCTAATTTGTAACTTTCACTGTAACTCTTGCTTTTTCAGCACCCTGTAGGTGCATCTATTTAGGAATATGTCTTATGTTAACTTCATGTTGTGTTTTCCCCTGTTTCAAATAAGGAATGCTAAAAATAATTCTTTACTTATAGTTGTGGATAAACTTGTGCATTACCTATCCATATATATTTGAAAGTATTCCATTTGATTTGTGTTTATCAAACTTCTTACTCTTAGGAGGTTTAGGAAGGAAAGTTCAAAGGGTGTCAGCAAGTGTTTATGCTGTCTAGAAGATGGCAAAGTGCCACCAAATATTAAATGTTAGTTCCTAGCTTACATAAACATTGCAGTTAGAATTATTCATCTGCTGTCAAATTCATTTGCTGTCTTGTAGTCTGGGGAGGAGAAGCAGTGGAAAGGGTCAAGAAAAGGATTCTTCATTAAAACAAGTTAGCCCAAAAAAGGCAAAATATCAGCAGAAGTAGGTAGAAGAGTATGTGTGTGGAATATGCAGCTCTGATCAGTCTGAATTAAGTTCTAAGCAGTGTCCTTCACTGTTTTGTATTTTGCACTCCACTACAAGCTCTATACTGTTGTTTTATGGTCTGTATTGCTAAGCAACGTGATTAAACAACACAGGTTGCTTAGAAACAGATGACAGCTGGACAACTTTTTCTGAATAGCTTCCATTTTGATGTGACTCTAAAAAGCTAGCAGGTAAATATATTTTTGGAAAAAGTCATTGCATTACAACTTCTGAAAAAAAGTAGTTCACACAGGTTCCTGTATTTCTGTGATATCAGCTGAATTCTAGAGAAGCGTGCACATCTATTCTCTGCTTCTACAGGAAGATTAAAATGAGTGGTTTTGCATATAGAAGGCATTAAATTAAGCACTTGATACCAAGTACTAGTCCTAAAAATAAAAGCAGTCAGGAGTGCTGCATTGCAGTGATTTGGATTTGGTATATGATAGTTTTAGCAGAACAGTAGTTATTAGTGTCATGACTGTCCCTCCTAAAATACAAAGGATTGTAGCATAGTCTGAATGGAGAGACAAGTTATTAGAGTTGAATTGGTTTTTCCTTGAGATAATAGACGGAGTAGAAAAGTTGACAGTTACCAGGTAAATGTCTTTTCCCAAACTGAAACTTTCATTTCTCCTGAGCTGTATAGGTAGTAGTAATAAGGCTGAACTCTGATCTTTTGGTTTGAGTGTTAGTTTAGTTCAAGGGTCAGGAGTAGATTAGCATCAAGAGCTGTTTACCAACTGAATTGGTAAGGTTGCTTGGTAAATTGGTATGCCTGGATCTTAATGACTTATTCTTAGAGTTTTTAACAGAGCAAGCTAAGAGGTTCTTGTGAGATATTCCCCCCCTGCCCCCTTGTTCCTGGTCTCTCCTTTTCCCCACTTTGTCTTTAATGACATTTAGATTAAGGTTGTGGATTAGGATTTTTGCATAAAATTACAGTATGATACTCAAGATGAAAACATGTTAATGAATCATGGCTGGTTTTACTATTTAAGGTTTTTCTTTCTCTTTTTCTTATAGTTTGAGGGTGGCTCTGGATATGGTAAGTTTTTATAGAGAACTTTGACATGCACTTCATTTAGTCAATAAGAGGCTTGATGCATATGTTTAAATCAGATTATTCTTACACAGGGGGCCGTGGTTCATATGGAGATCTTGGTGGACCCATCATCACAACACAAGTAACGATTCCCAAAGATGTAAGTGAAGCTGGCTTGCTTTCTGCTTATATTTAAATAAATAAATAGAAAATCACAGCCTTTTCTTAGGCTATGTAAGTAAATCAAAAGTATTTGGGATACTTGACAAGTACTTTTAATATAAAACAAGTGTTTCTAAATCATCAATAGTTTATTCTTAAGGATATTTGGTTTGTTTTGACTTTAGAGATTGCACTGAACTTTTTTTAATTCTTAATATTCAATAATAGAGATGGTCTACATAACTTGTTTTTACAAACACTTGGTTCTTCCGACTTTATTCCACCTGTGTTTATATAATATGCATTACAGAGACTGTTTTGAGGCTATAAAAGAGTAAGCTTCCATTGTAACTCTTAAAACTAAATGTGGATGGAAGCGACTTGAACAGTACTGTGCAGAGAAAGTTATATCAAGAAATGAATGCTTTATTTTCTCCCCTAGTTGGCAGGTTCTATTATTGGAAAGGGAGGCCAGAGAATCAAACAAATACGTCATGAGTCAGGAGCTTCAATCAAAATTGATGAACCACTAGAAGGCTCAGAAGATCGAATAATAACTATTACAGGAACACAGGACCAGATACAAAATGCTCAGTATTTACTGCAGAACAGGCAAGTTGAAGCTTAATGCTGTCCTTACTGTCATTTTTAAACTGACTTCCCTACTACTACATTCTAAAGCTCTTCTCTGCAGTATAGTTTTTAGAAGGCAGGATTTAAGTAACTATTGAACCTAACTTCTCTAGTGGTAGTTCTGCCTTGATTCTTTTTTCTCTGTTCTAACAAAAATGAAAATTCCCTCAAAACTAATCTTGATGGAAGACACCTTAGCCAAGCAGTCCTCTCATTTCTCTGGTGAAAATTGCTGCAAAAAAACTACTTGTAATTAATTATATAGAACCTGTAGAAAATATAGAAGATTTCAGTCGATGTTGGTCTAGTTCTGTGTGGAAGACTAGTGATTTTGTTGTTTTTAGATAACCGACAACAAATCACAGTCTGCCATATGGCACAGACTATGCCTCTACAGGACAAGTTGAAATCAATTGGTGCTGTTATGCAGCATTTCACACCTTGCTAGCATTACTTTCTCTTCTTCCAAATATTAACAGTTTTGGACTTAGCTTGCTTAGTTTTGCTTTAATAACATGTTGACTATCATAGCATTTTTTAATGTTTAACTTGAATGTTTGGCTTTAGATTACTAACATTTAAATGTGCTTAAAATAATTATATGCCTGTAATTATTAGTTGTTAAACTTTTAAAATTATTTACTTTTAAAAGTATTGTGGATTTGTAGTTTAATCTTTAAGAATGCCATTGTAAATATTGATGCGAGATGTGTGGTCAATCATTCTAATATATGCTTTTTTCTTTTTCTTTTATAGTGTGAAGCAGTATGCAGATGTTGAAGGATTCTAATGCAAGATTATTTTTTCTTTTTTATAGTGTGAAGCAGTATTCTGGAAAGTTTTTCTAAGACTAGTGAAGAACTGAAGGAGTCCTGCACCTTTTTTTTTTTTTTTTTTTTAATATCTGCTTCTGTTTAAATAGCGAACATTCCTCTGCTTCATAGGTATTCTGCATTTGAGGTGTAGTGGAATCTGCTTTTCGCCAGATGTCATGTTTTAGTTCGTTACGAATATTTGGGGGAGGGAAAGGTTGCACAAGACTAATACTGAAATTTTGAAACAGCAGCAAAGAGCGAATTTTATTTTTGTTCAGTGGTGGTAAATCATAATGGGGTTTTTTTCTGTAACTATTGTGAACACCCTACTTTATGTACATTGTTTTTTTTTTTTTTTTTTTTGATGGGAGGGGAGAGGACTGGTTGTTCACATGTCCCTGACATCCTTTGAGGGCAGTGTGTAGAATGTAATGTTTTTTTTTAAAATGTATTTTATGAAATAAATTTAGTGAACCTATTATTGGTGGTCATTTTTTTTTTATATATGTAAGGTAATATCTAAAATAAATACACCCTTTTTCCCCCCACACACAAGAAAATGTGTAAATGAAAGTTGCTATTAAGCTTGCTCTTCTGCTGCTTTGATATAGATGGAGTTACGTGTTTTTGGCAAATTAAAGAAACAGTGTAAAAACAGTGGCTCGGCTTTGCTATTTGGGGAAAAGACTTACAAAAATATTATTGCAAACATTGCGTGAAATTTGACCTTTTTTCATCTTTTTGGTCCTCTGCAGTACATATTTATATAGGTGACATATAAATAAAATATTTTAAAACTTTGTGATGCCACTGAGTTAACAGTGGGTTAAATACACCTGGTTCTACACAGCTTGCTTAATGCAAATAACTTTAAAAATAGCAGTTGAATAGCAATTAATAAATGAATTGTACTTTTCAGAACTCTCATTTGTGTAAGATAGAAATTTGTATGAATTGACAAATTAACAGTATCTAACTTGATTTTCATTGTATACAGAACTTAAATTTGTTTGGTTTCCCTGTTGAATTCCATAGAAAATATTTGTGAGAAATTAAAAAATAAAGTACTTCTGGATATTTTTAATGTAATACCTTGGCATTTGTATATATAGTTTACAAGTTTTAATTTCACTTGCTAAATAAAAGCAAAAAAAAAAGAAATTCAAAAGAACTTTGTAAATCTGAATGCGATTGATCCAGATTAAGTGGATTATTTCACTTTGGGGAGGTTGTGTTGATACTGAAAAGCAGCAGAAACAAACTCCTTAACACCAATTTGTAGGTGTTAAAAAGGGCATTTATTCAGCATGCTGGATGTTCGGAGGATAGCTCCTCTAATCGAACGTGCCAAATGACAGACAGGGCTTTTTATTACACATACTGTTTACATATTCATTAGTTATTCTTGCTTACTTAATACATATTCATTAGTTTGCTTTACATAGTCACACCCCTTTTGGAAGTCCTTCTTTGGTCCTTCCAGGTCTTTGTTGTCTTGACCTCAGTTCTTGAGCAGGCACAGCATCACTGTGTTTCACCACAAAAACTGTAAAGTTTATCTTGTTTGGGTACACAGACCTTAGTTTACATCTTGTTTGAGTTACATCCCTTATCTTATTCTCTAGGACTTCTCTACGATTATATTGTTCTTTATTTGGGCATTCCAGGATACTGGGAATAAAGTTTCTATTTCTCAGTGTCTTGAACATTTTATTTTTCTCATCTTTTTGAACCATATGAGGTAATTCCTGTCATAATAAGGAGCTACGCTTATGATATAATGGGAAAGGGGAAGGAGCTAAGATGTGACCTACTTAGCAGAGCTATAATCAATCCTTAGAAAAGACCCAAAACCTGCTTTTGTCTAGGGCAAGGAGTATGCCAGTTTTCCCAGTAAATAAACATACGTGTAGAATTGGCACTTCCTTGGGAAAGGCTGAACATAAATTAAATGGAGAAATCAGCAAAAAGGGTCAAACAAAAATGCAAATTAAGAAAAAACATGGGTGCAGGATTTTTTTTTCTATGCACTTCTACATTGTGTATATGGCTTTTGTTTTTAAAATATTTTAGCAGGGGAAAAGCTGCACAAGTCTATATACTGGAGAATAATGTTTTGGTTTTTATTTTTAATCATCTACATCTTTTAAGACACTAACCTAGTCTTACAAATAAGCACCATTTTAGCTTTAGTAGGGTTTTCTTTAGGGTTTCCTTAAAACCAATCATTTATGATTTGAGATGAGCCTTAGGGATTCCTACTGTAAAGGAAGCTGTGGGTTTGGGTTTTATGTCTTATGCCTCTGTCCCTACCCCTCTTTCCCCTACTGACTTAGGGTCAAAAAGCTGCTTGTCTCTTGAGGAGG